TAGACGCACAAGCAGCAGGGGACAGCGTGATTGAAGGATGGGAGTCCATAGTGAACACAACGGCAGAGAGAGTAGTGGGAAAGAAGGTGGTACGATGTGGGGTATCGGTTAAGTGGTGGGATGACGAGCTGAAAGAAGAAATAGGGGAACGTAGAGAAGTCTTCAAGCAGTACCTGGGTGAGGGGTCTGAAGAGAGTTGGTAAAAGTACAGGGCCAAGAGGAAACAGGTGAAGGGACTAGTGAAAAAGAAGAAAAAGTGCATTTGGGACGAAGTAGTGCAGAAGGCCAACGGAGGCCTGGAGGGGAACGTCAAGCAGATGTGGGAAGGGATTAGTGGGATGATAAAAAAGACCGCGCAAGGGGGGGATACAGGGGTAGCAACATTGCGAGGTGTGAACGGTGGACAAGTAAGCAGTGGGAAGGGAAAAAGGAAGTTCTAGCAGGACACTACAAGAGACTTGGAGTGCCGTCGGAGAATGAAGATTTTGACCAAGTGTTTAAGAAGGAGGTGGACGCATGGGCCCAGAAAGAAGAAGAGACATCAAAGGCAGACGTTGGGAACGTAGAACTAGAAAAGGAGTTTACTGAGGACGAGGTTGAGGCGTGTGTGAACAAGCTGCAGTGCCACAAAGCAGCAGGGGCGGATGGGATAGTCAACGAGTTCATGAAGTTTGGGGGGAAGGGGATGATCCAGCTGATGGTACTGCTGTACAACTGGGTGTGGAAAAACGAGTATGCGCCAAGTAGATGGAGGGAAGGAGTGGTTGTGAACTTGTTTAAGAAAGGAGACAAGACTGACCCAGGATACTACAGGGGTATCACACTGTTGAACACAGTAGGAAACGTGTTTTGTAAGCTGCTGAACGATAGGATAGTGGGAGTATTGGAGAAGAAACGTAGCATTAGTGAGGGCCAGGCAGGTTTCCGACAGAAGAGGGGGTGCGTAGACCACGCATTCACGGTAGGGAGAATCATCCAAGGTAGAAAGAGGGCGGGAAAGCGGACGTACTGCTTCTTCCTGGACGTGAAAAAGGCATACGATACCGTATGGAGAAATGGGCTGTGGAAACAATTATCCAAGTACGGGATCAAGGGGAAAATGTGGAGAGTGCTGAAGAAGATGACAAGAGTGTACGAAAAGCGCGGTCATGCTAGACGGAGAACTTTCTAAATTCTTCGACATTGAGCAAGGGGTCCCACAAGGTTGCACGCTGTCCCCAACATTGTTCCAGGTGTTCATCAACGATCTGTTGGAAGTCGTAGAGGCAGTCCGGAAGGGAGTAAAAGTAGGGGACACGGAAACGTTGGTGTCAGGAATGCTGCTTGCGGATGATTTTGTTGGTATGTCGGACACCCCTGAGGGACTGCAACTGCAAATTGACGCGGCGAAGAAGTTTACTGATAAGTGGAGATTGTCTGCCAACGTTACGAAGAGTGCCGTCATGGTATGCAACGAGGGCAGGGAGGAACCAGTAGAACATAGATGGAAGTGGGGGATCGAGGAGATTGCAGTAGTGGACCAGTACACATACCTCGGAGTAGAGATCGCAAAAGATTGCTCGTGGAATGCACACATGTCCAAGGTAGCGGAAAAGGGCAAAGCACGAGCAGGGAAGCTGCACCCAATACTCGCAAACCGGCACCTTGATACACGCATCACATTGACGGTGTTGAAGAGCGTAATCGTACCGCCGCTAGAGTACGCCGGACAAGTATGGGAAGGAAATAAGAAGGTAGTGAAAGAACTCGAGGCGGTGCAGA